GGGACATCAAAACAGCAGCCTGCAGAGTGTAAGGACAGTCCACAGTCTCTTCCTTAGAGGCCCCTTAGTGGCCTTGGATGTGCTGCGGGGGGGGCCTGCAGGCTGGACACACTTGCTCTGGCAGTGACCACACAGCCTCAAGCTCTAAGTGGCCAGACCCCTCTCCCAGTCCAGAGCCTCTCCCCACACTTTGCAGTTCCCAGCTGCTCACCACATCCAGCTGCAGGCTGTGCTGTGTGGCCAGTCTCTAGCTTCTTGCGTTGCTTCTCTGTTCCTTTTGGCTCTCTGAGCACTGCCAGTCTGCTGCTCAACACAGGGTCTGCGCTCTTTGAGCTGTGTGTGTCAGGCTCAGCTGCTGCAAAAACTGCCCCTCAGCACACAGCTTGCTTTGCTAGAGCTGTCTCTCAGCTCTGTTTTTGCAGGACTTCTTCACACAGCTTGTACTCCTATTTCAGCTTTCTGTCTTTGCAGGACCTCTTCTGCACACAGCTTGTTTGTTCCAAGAGAGAGCCAGAACAATCCCAGCTCACAGGGAGGACGGGGCCTGGCCTCTCCCCTTCCTCACTGGCCTGTCCAACCTGTCAATCAGGCTGAGCTGGAGTGTTGGCTGCTTTCCATTGTCTCTGGGGTCTGTCAGCCTCCTGAACCCTTCCCCCTCTGAAAGTGGGAGCTTGCAAACCAAAAAACTCCCACAGAGTTTTAGTAAGGGGTAACAGTCCCCTTACATATACAAACAGACCCAGCGAGTGACAGTTTCTGCCCCAGCTGAGAACAGGGCCCTGTAGGGCCAGGTGCTGCATAAACAAAGCAAGAGACAGTTCCTGCCTCAGTTGAGATCAGGGCCCTGTTGTGCTGGGTGCTGCACAGTCACACAGGAAGAGAAAGTCCCTGTCCCTGCTGAGATCAGGCGTAGACACACAATGAGAGACAGGACGGCTGCGTCTAGACTGGCATGATTTTGCGGAAATACTTAATCCGCAAAAGCACGTCTAGATTGGCACAGATACTTTTGCGCAAAACGTTCTTTTGCGCAAAAGCATCTATGGCCAGTCTAGATGCAATTTTGCGCAAGAAAGCCCCGATCGCCATTTTAGCCATCAGGGCTTTTTTGCGCAAAACAGTTCTTCCCTGTCTACACTGGCCCTCTTGCGCAAGTATTCTTCTCTGTCTACACTGGCCCTGTTGTGCAAGAAGGCTTTTTCCCGAGCGGGAGCCTGAAAGTATTTGCGCAAGAACCACTGATTTTGTACATTACAAAGTCAGTGCTCTTGTGCAAACTCAAGCGGCCAGTGTAGACAGCTGGCAAATTTTTGCACAAAAGTGGCCACTTTTGCACAAAATCCTGCCAGTCTAGATGCACATGATGTTTCTGGGGCTTCTTAAAATCTCCCCTGAAAAAAGCAGGATGAAAACATTGTTTAAGGGAAGAAATAGAAGCATCAGGGCAAAAGACGTTTGGAAGGCCATGCCACAGATCTGGGAGTAGAACTCTGGTCTCAGGGTTCGTCTATACAGCAGCCGCTACAACAGCCATTATTCCAAAATAACAGCAATTCCGTTATTTCTAAATACATTCGAAATAACAGACAGCTTCTTCTGACTTCTGTAAACGTCATTCCACACGGAATAACAGTTATTGTGAAATAGCTATTTCGGAATAGTGGTAATGTGGATGTTCCACTGCTGCTATTTCAAAATAGCCCTTCCCCAGGGCCATTCAGAGTAATTACTCCCCAGTGCCTCCTGGGGCTCTAAATCAAGATAGTGTATCCACATTAGGGGGAGCCTGCCTCAGACTAATTTTGAGGCTTCTCTGTAGTGTGGACGTGCTATTTTGAAATAGGTATTTTGAAATATCTCCTCCAGAATAGCTTATTCCAAAATCAGAGTGCAGTGCAGACGTAGGCTTAAGGACAAAATTCTTTCAAAGGTCTCTCACTAGGTCTCCTTTGGTGCATCTCCTTCTCTCGCTCGTTCTGTGTGTCTTTGATAGAAAAAAAATAACGGAACTGGTAACTCCAATATTTCAACATTTGGTTTTGCCTCAAATTGGGCGAACTCTGAAATGTTCGTAACTCTGATCAAAACTTTCTATCAGCGCCCTGAAGCCCTGCCCTGAATCCCCTCTCAGCACCAGCACCTATTGCTTTCCTGCATCCTGAACCCCTTCCTGTATGCCAAGTACCTGCCCTAGCCCTGAGCTGCCTCCCAGAGCCAGCACCCTGCATCCCAAACCCCTGTGCCAGCCCAGTGAAAGGGAGGGAGGGAGGATGGAATCCCACTTTCTTTTAACCAGCTCCAGTGTGTGCCGGGATCCATCTAGTTATCCCTCCACCCCCATGCACATGTACCTACCCGGGTATCTGATTGTCCCTCTGTGTGACAGTCCAGTGCTTTGTAGTATCAAGCTCACCAGCTATTCGGAGGGATGGGACAGTCCAGGCCAGTCACTGATGGACCCACACACACAAACCCAATGCGTCAGCTACTCACCCCAAATCCCCAGCGCTATCACAGCGATCACCAGGACAATATTGCCAATCCATCCGACCCACAGCACCGTGCGGTGCCACCGGGGACACTGGGGACCTGTAACAACCAACGTCTAGTGAGAAACAATCAGGACCTCACATGTGAAATATTGTTTCAGGCCAAGGGGCGGGGAGGGCTTGAAAACTCAGAGCCTCTGTCCTGCCTCCCATTCCCACATACATGCTGCTCCCCTACCCAGCTCGCAAGCACCATGGTCAGTGCTGCCCTTCCCCCGCCCTCATAGGGTGGGCTTGAGGCCAGGGTGGGGAGAAGGATGGCACGTGCTGGACCTATTGAGCGTTCTGAGCCGTGCAGCCAGACTATTAACAGCCACTCTGTGCACGCGCCGCAGCGTCAAACGGGAAAAGGGACGGGTGCATTGGGACAGAGCACTGGGGACTGGGATGTCTCTGGCTATGGGGAAGGGGTGGGGAATTGGGTTAGAGCAGTGTTTCTCAACCAGTCGTACGAGTACTCTCAGGGATATTCGAGAGAAGTCTAGGGGAGGGGAGAGTACATTAACACAGCTGAAATTTGGAGAAAACTACAGCACTTTATTATTTTTTAAATTTTTACACCAAAAAATGTCATCGCCCGCCCAACAAAGATTAAGTGGTTTAAACAAATGTGTTGCAATGGTAGAAAAAAATGTGTGTGTCTGAAACTGTAGGTACTGGGGTTACTTACAATTAAAAAAAAACAGGTACTTTATAAAAAAAAAGGTTTAGAAATACTGAGTTAGAGCATGTGGGCTGGGGGGTGTCTGGCTCTGGGGGATGGATGGGTGCATTGGGTGAGAACATAGGGGTTGGGGTTGGGGGTGGGGTACGTGGCTCGAGGGGAGGGGGATTGAATTAGAGCAGGAGGGCTGGACAGTAGCTTGCTCTGGGCGGGGGGGAAGGGGCATTGGGTTAGGGCAAGGAACTGAGCATTAGAACTACTGGCTTCTTTCCTTTCCCATAGATGGGCAGTGGGGTCTAGTGGTTAGATATGGGAAGCTGGGCTTGGAGGTTCTAGTTTCAGTTCTGTGAGGACTGTGGGAGCTGGTGCTGGGTGGGGCGGGCAGGGCAGAGGAAGGGATTCTAGGAAGCAGGATTCCTGGGTTCCTCTCCTAGCCATGGCCCTGCCTTTCCTCTTGTCCACAGGCCAGTCACTCCCTTCTGGGCCTCAATTTCCCACTTGCCCACCTTGAAGATCTTGGAATGCAAAGCTCCTGTTTGCTTTCTCTGTTGTGTCCATAGATGCTGAGGGATCAGACCCCGAATCCTTCTCTGCTGTCTGCCCACATTGCTAATCCAGACCTTGTTCAACCCAGACTCACCCCAGCCCCTGACATGCTGTGTGTCCTCCCTGGGGTTGCAGCTGCAGCTCTGACCTTGCTGCTGGGACATGGAGCCTGGCGGTGGGGAGCAGAGTTTTCAATCAGTACCTGGGATCCTGGCTGCAGGTGGGACGGCTGAGCGGCCCCCCCTGGACTTTAGGTTCAGCACTGTGTAGCCCTCCTCGTCCTCCATCAGCTCGGGTATTGTCGCCCAGGGAGCGGAAGTAGGGACAGTGCAGCTGGGAGCCTCTCTGAGCTGCGTGGGGAGGGGGGTGTGAGACCGCACAGGAAGCTGAGCCATGGCCTGTTGCTAGGTGAGTGACAGGTTGCTGGACAGAACCTGCTGCCTTAGGGGCTGTTTATTGATGCAAAAGGTGCCTTGAATAACCGCGACAATTCTTAGAAGTTACATGCATCAAAGGCCCCAGCCCCAGGCCTGGCTGGGGCTAGATGGGTGCAGCCAGCCAGGGGCAGCATGTCCCTGCCCTGCATTATCCCCCCAGCCTGGCCCAGCAGTGCCCAGGGGAGGGTGGTTCAGACAAGCTGGGGTTACCTACTGCTGTGGGCTTGGCCGGGAGTCACAGCTGGGATCAGTCACGCTCCAGGCGGGCTCTGCAGGCTGCTGTGCTGGGGTCCCCACTCCCAGGGGCTGTCGCTGTATCTCTGCTCCCAGCTCCACCGATCCCAGGGGCTGCTGGAGTCTGTCCCTTCTCGGACGCCAAATGGGAAACGGCAAAACATCGTGGGTGAGAGTGAGGGGACTGGTCAGTGTTACATGTAGCTGTTAGGTGGAAGGATGGGCAAAGAGTCCCATGGAAACACAGAGCCTGATCCAAAGCCTGGTCAAAAAACAGCGTGGGTGGGAGTGAGGGGGCTGGTCAGTGTTACAGGAAGCTGTTAGGTGGAAGGGCTGGCAAAGAGTCCCATGGAGACACAGAGCCTGAACCAAAGCCTGGTCAGTCTCATCTCTTCTCACTCCAATGGGCTTTGGAGCAGCCCCGAAAGGCCTGGGTCCAAAAAAACTAGCAGGGATTGAAAATCAGTGGGGGCTTGTACCTTAGTCACTGAGACCCCTTTGGAAACCCAGGCAGTGTTAGCATCTGTTATGTAGCCCGTATGCCCAGAGCAAGTCAGGGCAGGGCTGTTCTTCCCAATGGACAAGTGGGGAAACTGAGGCACGCAGCCCCCCCCTTCCTCCCCCCATTGTCAGAGTGAGTCAGGGCAGGGCTGTTCTTCCCAATGGACAAGTGGGGAAACTGAGGCACACAGCCTCCATCGACAGAGTGAATCAGGGCAGGGCTGTTTTCCTCAGTACACAGGTGGGGAAACTGAGGCACACAGTGCCCCAAGGTCACAGGGGACAGCCTCAGTTCCAGTCTGGAGACGGGGAGGCCACCCGAACTCTGAGAGGCTCCGGGCGGGGTTGGGAGCAGGGCCAGTCCCAGCCGGGCTGGTGTGGGAATGGATGGAAGGGCGGGAGGCCCCTGCCCCCCCAGGACACAGTGATTCTGTGGACAGAAGCCAAACGCTTCACTTCCCCCACATGCCGAGGCGGCGCCGCCACCTGCCCGGGGGAGGGGCGGGCACTTTTCAGTCGAATGGCCGCCGCCGCTGTCACCCGCTTTTCCTATGGATCAAGCGTTTTGTCTCCTGCCATCGCTCCCCAGCCTCTGACACACAGAGGCCAGGGACACCATTTCTACCCCCTGGCTAGTAGCCTTTTATGGACCTAACCTCCATGAAATCATCTAGCTTCTCTTTAAAGTTAGGCGGCAGCAGGACGTGCGGCTCCTTTCCCCTCGCATCTTCCCCGGCCTCCTGCTCCGGCCTCACTCCCTCATGTGGGGGAGGGGCTGGGA